TCCTTATGTTTATTTATTCCTTCTCCTGTGACTAGACTAGGTTGTCAGATGATCACTGATAGCCTTGTTCCCCTAGTTTTCCACTACAGAGGAGCATTGATTTTTTTTTCTTTTGTGGTGCTTGGGATTGAACCCATGGCCTTGTGCATGTGAGGCAAGCACTCTACTAAGTGAGCTATATCCCCAGTCTACAGGCATTGATTTTTAAAACTACTTTTCTATGTTCCAGTAACCCAGGAGTCCTAGTCTTTTGATTTCCCAGTATCAGACCGACCATGTTTAGGTGAAATTTAACATTCTACTCTTTACTCCCCAAATCCAAACTAGCTCTCCACTTCCCGAAAGCTAGTCTATTTATTCTAGATCAMTAAAAGATTAATCATCTACTATGGACCAGCCAGTGTCTTCAGAATTGAGAACATGAAGATGAATGATGCTCAATTTCAGTCTTCTAAAGAACTCAGAATATCCTGGGAAGAGTTGTCAACAGATGATGCCAATAAAATGCAACAGTTGTGACAGGGGACACACAAGGGGCTATGAGCATCTAAAGGAGAAAACACAGAAGGATTTCCCTCAAGGAGGAAAAATATACAAAGTAATATTTTGAACAGTCATGGCAAGTCTGATGAGGTGTTCACCCAGTGCCCTACAGAGCGAAGGGCAATCTGAGAAAAAAAGACAGTTATGCAGAGACCCTAAGGATTGAGCAAGCATCTATTTCTATGAATGGGAATAAGTTCATACAAGGAAAAGAAATAATACAATGTTGGAAAGGTAGGGCAAGGAATTATGCATGAAAGTTCTTGATTAATTTCCTGAAGAATAAGGAATTATCTTATAGATAGTGGGAAAGTGATAGAAATTTTTTTTTAAAGCAGTTATTTTTTCTGTCTCTCTCCATGTTTCTTTCCCCCAGGATCCCATCTATAATTTCACTTTCTGTATTCTGCAAAAATCATGCTCTTTAATTTCTTTTAGCACATTCTTAAGGAAATAATCTCCTACCTATGAGATAATGTTTAGTCTGATTATCTACTTACCTTTATTCATATCCATCAATCACCACAAGAAGCAGAGGATGCTCTTCACCTGCTATTTCCCATTGACTTGAGCATCACCACTTCTGCCTCTGTTTCTTTCTACTCTCCATCTTCTGAAACTACTACCACCAGAGAAATTCCAAGTCTTTCATTGTCCACATCCTCTTGATAATGAACTTCTGCTGTGAACATTTTCCCTTAAGTTGTTTTTTGCAACTGAAATTATTCTTTACTTTGATTATATTCTTTCTCTTACATTCTTTCCAGTGTTTTCTTCTCCATATTCTTTCTATCACAATTACTCAAATCAAGGTCTCAAATCCTTTTTAATTGTACTTACAGATCATTTCCATACTCCTTCCATAAAAACGTTAAGCTCTCATGGTAATATTTGTCAGATTATTCCAATCACACACTCTCTTTGCTGTAGTCCTCTATTGACCCTCAAGTCATCTCCCTGTTTCTTGATGATTTTTTTCTCATGGTTCACTACCACTCTCTTCAGTACTACCGTAGCTTTAATTCTTGGTGTTCTCAACAGTCAGTAGATCATTTTTCTAGTGTTCTGGTCTCTCAGTTCTTAGAGCTCCTCTCCAGTTATTTCATTTCCATTCTAATTCAGAGACTTCCTTCCATAATTATATTCTTACTKTTACTCTTAAAAATCTCAATTGTGAATATCCATAATGGGTACCACTCTACACTTGTCCAACTCACTCCCAATAACATCATGACTTCCTTTGACTACATCAGAACTTAAAAGTTGAACTTCAGTTATTTTATCAACCTACCTCTTTCTTGTCTTCCTTATTTCATAGTATTAGTGCCATTTTCCTTACATGGCACAAGTACCATGGTCTGTCAAAAATCACTCCTTTACATACACCAACAGTTCCTTTTTCTTTCTACTTTTAATATTAAATGTGTTACAACTTTATTGACTTAGCATCTACATTAACCTAGTTGAATGAGGGTGGACAGAAAAGACACAACCACACAGTGGATCCATTTCACTTCAGAATCATGATCCTCAATATTGCCTATGTTTTCCTATATTCCAAGTCCATTCTCTTTTCAACTCCTCTATGTATATATATCATACTTTCTTCTCTCTCCTTTTTCTTCCACAGTGTTCTCTCAGTTTTCTCTTATAACTTTCTTTCTATTTCACAAAGCAAATTTAAAAATTTAGAAGAGATTTCCTACCACTACTTTCCCACCCTGTTATATTTTACCTTCTTATCTGTTACTTCAAACTGTGCATGCTTCTGAGGCCAACTTCCACATTTTATCCTAAGGATGCTTATTGCAAGTGGCTGAATTCCACTTGCAATTATCTAACTGGACTTGACACCTCCCACTGAATTTTTTTTTAATGATTTCTAATTTAACACTAAAAAACCTGAACTTCTGATAATGCTCCCCAGCTCTCTGCCCCACATCCTGCCTCCATACAGATGCACACAAAAGCAATAGCAAGCAATTGACCTGGGGCTTTCTGCATCTCAGTGGATGGCAGCTTCATTCTTGCAGTTTCTTGGATCAAAAACGTGGTGTTACTTTTGACCATTTTCTTTTCTTAGACCATGCATCCTGTCCTGTATTAAACTCTGTGACTCTGCCTTCAATATTATCTAGAATTGTATCACTTCTGTCTATCTTCATTGTTCCCACTTTGGTCTAGTTCAACAGCATTTTTGCCTGGATTATTTCAATAGCTTCAGATCTTGAATCATGCTGCTTCCTTGCACCTTGCAGTTGATCCTCAAGAATAATTAGAGTAATTATCCAAGTGATCCTGTTTAAATGGTTGTCAGATTATGCCCCTTTTCTCCTCAAAAACGTTTGGTGCTTCCTACTTTAGTGACACCACAAACCCGAACCATTACTGTTATCTACCCTGCATACATGCTGTCACCCTGATGACCCCATCCTTTCCTGCTTTGCTGTTCATCCTCATCACTTATAACTATATAACGTAATATATATGTTGCTCTTTTATTTTGTTTCTTCCTAGTATCCTCCACTTAAGAATGTCAATTCTACAGGGTTGGAAATTTTTTGTTGTTGTTTACTATTATATTGTAAGAGCCAAGATAACTGCTTAATCCATAGTAGGCTTGCAATGAATGATTGTGAAGTATGAGAATGATTTAATGAATGAAACTTGTTTTCATATGATTGCACTATATAATCTGTCATGCATGCTAATGCTTTTATAGCTGTGTGATTTAGTGTAGTGATTAAAAGTATAATCTCTGGCATCACAATAAGAAGTTTTAATGGAGCTCTGACTTACTATGTGATCTTGCATTGCATAATGTCTCCAGACATAGTTTTCTTGTTTTTTTTTKTTTGTTTTGTTTTGTTTTTTGTTGTTGTTTTATTTTGTTTTTAAATGGAGATGATGATAATACATAAATTAGTCACATGACTGTTGCAGAAATTAAATGAGAAAATCCAGGTAAAATCAATATGCCCACAATAGAGTTAGGTAGCTTTCAGTGAGATAATTAGTATTCCATTACTGTAGCTAATACATATTATATTTTGCTTCTTTTGTGTCTTGATTTTCTCTTTTAGGTAATTTTATGGGAAGATTATACTCTTTGAGGTTGAAAATAGTAATATTTATTTTTTTATATACCTCTCAAATTTGACTCCCAGTTTTTAATCAGTTGTTCTTTGAGTCAGGTAAATCCCTGGAAATGTAGTTTCAGTGGTTTTTCTCAGGGTGCTAATGTCATGTGAGGAACCGGCCCCTTAATCTCATCCATTTCTCCATTACAAACTACTCCAGAATGAGGGGAAAAAGTTTGGTTATTTACCTGGATTTGTGTTCCCAAAATAGTCCTTTGAAGGAAATTATCCCACTGCACTACAAAATGCTTGGAAAGGAGTTTTACTAAAAATTATAGTCACTGAAATCATTTGCATTTGTGGCCTGTCATTTATGTAAAACTTGACACTTTAATCTCGTTGAAGATTTTGCTTAGAAACATAATCCTGAGAAATATAACAGTCCCACTTGATGCTAATATATTATAAATAAATGTTTAGAATTAACTAATGAAGATATAWAGTCACATTTTTCTTCCTGAGGAGTTCAATTATGAAGATTTGCTATCAGACAACATGTAGAAGTCATCAGCAGGGAGTGACTACATAAAGTCACATAATTTGCACTAAATAGACTTGACTTTACATGTTTACTGTAAATGGGAATTTTCCGTGGGGCAYAGCAGCTCTTAGATAAATATATTCTGTTCAGATTATCTATGAATTGATGAGAATTGGTATTTATAGAGCTAGCATTACAATTCATTAGTACAACTGCTAACGAGTGGTTTTTTTATGCTACTATACTACTACTGTATAGTGATATTGTGTAGTGAAAAATTAAARATTTAGTCTAGAATTTACAATAACTTGAATACCAGTTGCAGTTTTGTTAAGTACGAGCATCAGTCTTGACAATCAAATTGTTTGTGCCTTAGTTTACTCGTCTGTATAAAAGTAGGAGTTATATCTGCTCTGTTTTTTACTGAGTTGTTGTTAGAATTTTTTTAAAATAATCTGTTATTGTTATCTTTATGTTATAAAAGTAAGGTGTTGTATATTAGGTATTATAATTGGAAGGTTATTTTAACAGCAGTATTATTGGTTTCTGGTTCTGTTTTTCTTTCTTCAACTTTTATTCTTTTTTCTAACTTCCACTTTCCAAATTTCTGTGACTTCAATAATCGCCACTATCTCCTTCCCCCCACCAACCCCTTTTTAAAAGAAGGATATTGGATTTGGTGAATAGGATAGCCAATGATTAAAGCATACTCATAGTTGAAGTAAAGAGTTCCTTTTATATTTCTTGGGTAACATTTAGAATGTCTAGATTGTTCTTTTTAATTCTTTAGTTGACTATTGCTATAATCATTTTGTCTTCTATTCTCCTTTGCACAGGAAATGACTTATTTCTCGTGGCAGTTCACGAACTGGGACATGCTCTGGGATTGGAGCATTCAAATGACCCCACAGCTATCATGGCTCCATTCTACCAGTATATGGAAACAGACAACTTCAAACTTCCTAATGATGACTTGCAGGGCATCCAGAAGATATATGGTAGGTTACCACTGTTTCTGTTTGGTTAAACCAGCAATGATGCTCAGAACCCTGCTGTATTTTCTTTTTAGAAATGGATGCTGTAAGTATATAACACAGTGAAAAACTGAAGGGAAAAAATATATGTGTATATGTGTGTGTGTGTGTGTGTGTGTGTGTGTGTGAGTGCACGCACACATATACACACATACACATCTGTCCCACAGGGAAAATTCTTCTGTCAATTTCTCAATTGAGTTTTGTTGATACAGTTTCAGATGCTTTAATGTATATGTAATGAGGAAGTCTTTCTTATTGAAAGTTTTCGTATGGTATTTAATTGACATTTGCAGTTATACTAATGATCTAATAAATGTTCATATTTAAAATTGAGCTAAAAGTATAATAAATTAATGCAACCAATAAAACCAGTAATAAATGTAAGAATTTTATATAAGATTTTGAGGTTTTAGTACAAACTGACAGATTAGCTCACAGTTTCTGTGATTTGCTATTAGGAATTTCCCAGAAAAATCACTCTTGGAGGGCCTGAAAACACCCTTATATGATGGATGTAATAAACTGACCTCAGAGGTAATAAACTGACCTCAAAATCATGAAGAGTGAAAGTTAACCTGCAAGGGAGTGAAAGTTAACAAGTGGCTAAGTTTATTAACACATAACATGAGATAAAATTTTAGTACAGTAATCTCATTTTCATTTATGGGATGCATTGGTTAAATGCAAATTAAGAGAAAAGGGAAGACTAGCGTGCATATTTACTATAATCCTAACTCCCTCAATACAACCATTGACCTTTTTAAAGACATTTATTTCTCACATAATTGTTAAGAACTTGACATTTATAATTTACATATAGCAAGTATGGTTTACTAAATTAATGAAGTGAAGCTTTCATTTTTACAACACAAAGACAAATATGTGCTATCTGTATGTTAATATCCAGCATCCAAAGGATGCTATTTGCATTTTTAAACAGTGTAGTTTAAGTTCACTAATTTTCTTTGCATTCATTAGTTTTTAGATTTTAATATCTCAGAGGCAAGCATTCTTGCAGGATAAAAATAGATTTGAAAAAAAGGTCAGCTTTTGTGCTGCTCTTTATTTTGTTGGAGCACTGAGAAAAAAGACCTGTCTCAGCCTCAGAGCTAAAGATCTCATGCATTGAATTGTTAGCTTATGCTTAAGTGTGTATCATTGGAAATTCCTCTCAAGCGGTTAGCTAAAAGAAGTCTTTTTCTCATGACCTGGAAACAGACAGTAGTCTAAAGATCTACAATACAATATCCTTCCCATATTTAAATTTTAAGTGCAAACAGCTCTGTTTTTACGTTTTAAAACATAAATCCCTTGAGGAACAATGCTTACTTATCATTTGTACCAAATAACATGTGTAAACTTTGGCTTGATTTAGAAGCCACATTTTAGAAAAACATCTTGACATTAATATTTTATTGGTGGTATTTTAATCAATAGGTACTTTCAATTCAATATTTAAATGAAACACTCATCCAGCAATTTGTCAAAATGTTTAATCAAAGGAAATAGTGAAATCAGTAAAAGTTTATAAAATATAGTTTTAAAAGTTTATAAGATCTACTGTAGGATAAACTTTGATTAGTTAAGTGTTTATCTTTCAGCAATATTTGCATGTCTGTCAAAATTCAGAACTAATTTTATTGGAGCTTACATGTGTGGCTCCAGGATTTATTTTCATTTATTTATTATTTATAAACCATCCACTTCTAAAAAAAAATTTGAGAGCAGCTTTCCAATAAGGTCTATGGTGAAGCTAATTTAAAAAAAAAACACATCATTAAAAATTGACAAAGAAAACCTAATTACTTGGATTCAGAATCTAGTGTGATGAGGACAGTTTCATATAGACTTGGCAATCAGTGGGTAAGATGTTTTTCTGTTTCAGAAAATATAGGATCCTAAATACCTCTTAGCTTACTTAGTCTGTGCCCTATGCTGATAAGTGATTGTTCTCTGTAGCATATTTTCCAGCACTATTCCAGTTTTAAGTGAGCCAAGCACTGTCCTCATATTTTCAAAAGGTCCACCTGACAAGATCCCTCCACCTACAAGACCTCTACCAACAGTGCCCCCACACCGCTCTATTCCTCCGGCTGACCCAAGGAAAAATGACAGGCCAAAGCCTCCTCGGCCCCCCACCGGCAGACCTTCCTATCCTGGAGCCAAACCAAACATCTGTGATGGGAACTTTAACACTCTAGCTATTCTTCGCCATGAGATGTTTGTTTTCAAGGTAGGAGGCTGATTTTTTTTTTTTTTTTTTAAGGGTAGATCAAGTATCTGGTGTCCCTTTAGAAAATAAGTTCTCATTCATTCTGACACTACCTTCCCAGCCTCTCACTATTGGAAGGTCCAAAAAGGAAAAAAAAAAAAAAAAAAAAAGCATCCTAAAAAATAAATGCACAAATGGGTTTAAATGTCTAGCAGAAGATTGCTGTAACGGTCTATTTTGGGAATACATTTATGTCAGCAGAAGCTAAAATGCCTAGAAATGTGAGGGTGAAAAATGCTGCATGTTATGAAGAGATAAAATAGCATAATTTAAATCATGAATAGGAACTAATAGGCATGATTTGCTTGGGAGCATAGCCACTTCCAAGGACACTGCAGCTATTGTATCTTTGGTGTACACATCCTTATGAGATGCCTATAATTAGACTTGACAATTATATTGTTTTTTGTTTTTTGGGTTTTTTTTTTTTTTTGGAAGATTATTGATCATTTTGTTTGGGATCTACTGGTAGCCATTTGAGTTGAATCTTTTATGTGACTATCATTCCTATTTAACATACATGTTGTTTTATTTAGTCAGCCATTTATATCTACCTGCTTTATATTATTTGTTTAAAAGACTACAAGCTAAAATTATTTTTACATTTGTCATATGCTGCTTAATGTCCTTGGTTTCTCATACAATAACGCTGAAAAACAATGTATCAAAAGTAAATTATATAATATTGAAAGGTAAATATACTGTAATATTGAAAAGTAATATTCTCCCCCAATCTTTGTAAACTGATTTTAAACATCAAGGAAGAGTATAAATTTGTATGTTGCCAGTAGATTATTAAAATAGCTGCATTTTACCAGTATTATCCATTTAAAAGTAAATTAATATGCTCTTATTTTTGGTTGAGATGAATCAATACATAATGAAATATTGCCCTACTTATACAGAATTTCCTGTCTACTAAGGCAATACTTTAAAAATATAGATTTCATATAATTTTTAGTAGACAAAGTACTCTATTTCCTCTTTGAAAAATAAGATCTGGAGTTGATATATTATGCATGAGACCATCGTGCTTTCCAGAAAAAATCAATGCATTTCTTCAAACATATGAATAGGTTTTTGAATTCTATAAATGCCCTGCTGGGGTTACTTAGTGGTGGAGTGCTTGCCTGGCCTGCCTGAAGCCCTGGGGGAAAATATATACCATATATACATATGCATATATAATGGGTGTTTTTATATATACACATATCCACCATGACTTTATTATAGCTAAGTGCAGAACAACTATTAAAAGAAAACAGAGTGCAATCATTTGTTTATTTTACAAGACACCAAATGAAAAATGAAGGATTTTATTTTTACTGTTTTGGCTGATTTCCACATTGTAGCTTGTAACTTTGGTATCAGTGAAATCGCCAAGTGACAATCTTACCTAAGAATATGATGAAAAATGGACTCTGGGTGTGTTCTTTTTCAATACTACTGTCTGTTTAAATAAACTGTTGTTCTCAGAGGAGTCTGGTATCTTCCTAGCTAGGGATGAGTTTGACCAGTCTCTTTGCATTGTGCATTGAAGGTGTTTAGTAAGTGCTGTTGACTGACAAAAGGAGGTCCTATGATCCCCGTTTCCTGCAATCAGAAGTGTATCAGAACTCTCAAACAGGATGCAATTGCCACAATTTTCTATATCCAAACAGATGTAGAAAGGACAAAAGAACTGCTTGCGTAAACTCTCAGGTTATCTAGGATTCCTTAATCAAAACATCCTAATGAACTAAGTTCCTAAAATCAGACTGAATTTAATTTTTTTAGTAGTCTCTGCTCTCTAAGATTAATTTATATTGAAGATAACATGATCTGATAGTCATTGTATTCTGAATCTCCACTTTCCCYTGCTCAGTAATGTCACATAGCTTAGTAATTTTCTTATTTATCTCATCTTTCACATAATGTGTATGCATGCTGACTAGTTTATCAGACATCAAGAATGTGTGAATGGAAGCAGGGATCCCTGTCTTTATAGTGCTCATATTTCAGAAATGAAAGCAAAAAGGAACATAAACACTTTTAAGACACAAGATTAAAAGTCTATGTTATTGAAGCAAAGAAGCTACAGAGGTCTAATCAAGCAAGAAGTTTTACTGAGATAGGGCTTCTGATTAATTTTGACAGTGGCCTTTTCTAGACACATTACAGAAATTAGTAGTTTTGCCAAAACTTTGTGTATTGAGGGAGAGAAGATAGTCATGACACTGTCTAATGAAAAGCAAGCGCTAAGTGCTGTCACCCAGTTGAATACAGTATTGGATGACAGTAACAAGGACATGAACAAGTTCTGCTTGCCTTTGATTAATAACTGTCATGGACTGAGTAGCTAACATGCACCTGGATGAATCCTCAGCCCACATCCTTACTCTCTGAACCTCATAACAATTCTGTAAGTCAGGTAGTATTCTCTGTTTTACAAATGAGAAAACTGAGAATCAGGAAAGTTCAAAGTCATTAGTTCAAGTTAAATGCTTGTGAAGAGTAGTTGTACTTAGTATCCTTAACTTCAAAATTCCCCCTAAGCTTTGCTGCTGTGTTACCTGAAAGATTTTAGGAAAAGTTTCAAAGAAAGGTGGACCTCAAACTGCATTTTGAAATATTAAGTATTCAAGAAATATTTATGGCACTCCTACAGTGTGCCAGTGTTGAGGCAATGGCAGTGTAACAGAGCACAAAACAGGATAGACCCTGGTGTCTTGGGGCTTGCTTTGCGGCTTTCTAGTGGGTAGATGAGAGGGCTTCACTCAGCTTCCACAGGTCAGTGTTATGGAAGGTTGTGAGAATGCATCTACATGAAGAATACATGAAATGCTATTTTTCTTTGTTAAGAACTACTGGTCTCCTTGTTTTTCTCTATACCCACTTAGTTCACACTATTTTCACCTGTGAGTTAAAATCATCGCCACACACCTGATCTTCCTGCCTGAAATTGCTCTCTGCCAGTCTGCCTTTTGAACTCCTGCCTTGTTAATTTTTCTTTAATATAAATCTTATTTTTCATATTTCCACCTTGTTGCCTAGCTGTTCGAATATATTTAGGAAATCCCAGCATGTGATCTCACTCTTATTAATAGCTTGATTTTCTACCTTTCTTTATTACAAACTCTGTACAAGGTAGAAGCCTGTGTGTCTCGTCAGCTTTCCATTGGCACCCATTTCTACCTTTCTTTTTATGTCAGGTGCTTTCTTCTCAAGCTTGTACTTACTCACACCTTCCCTCCTCCTCATCTTCCAGATGTGCATCTTGTTCTCTGTTTTATCAACCTTAAATCTTTCTAGTTATTTCTACATGTGTTCTCTACCTCCACACAACATGTTTTCAATTTCTGTCTTCTCTATTTCTCATTGTAGGGTACTTTTCAACTAAATTATAAACTTCCTGACATTACAGGGCAGAGGCCGGCTGTGAAGCTGAGGCTGCCACAAAGACCCCTCTTCCCCTTGATTCTTATGATCATGCCAGAAAGAATTCAGACATGTTGCTCAGACATGAGCTTATTAGTAGGGGCAGGAAAAGAGAAAAGGGGACATTCTCAAGGGAGAGGCTGGGTCCTTTCAGAGAGGAGAATATTGGGGGTCCCAAGGAAGTTCCCACAAAGTCCTAGATCTGCCTTTTGATTTTTGACTGACAGCATAGGAACTGCTTGAACCAACTTCAAGAAAGGATGGCATGATGCTCTAGAGTAGGAGTTTTTAAGGAAACTGGGTCCCCCTGTTTTGCCACTCAGTTTATTATACTTCCACCCTTAACATGCTTTCTTAGTGAGGTCTTGATCATTTGGTTGCCAGTGTGATTGGGACTACATAGGACAGGGTAATTGGGGTTATGACATAGTTTCCTGATAAGGGAACTGTGGCCGCCTAAGAGGGTGTGACCTGATATTAAGAAGATGTGATTATGATTGGAGGGAGCAGGTAATATAGCAGACAGACCCTCATTTTCTATGTGCTTATTTTTGGATAAAGCTCCCTATGGGTTTTCACTGAGCCTTCATTGTCCTTTCCCGGCTTACCATTCATGACTAAGCACCTTCCTGACACTCAGAGCAGCTGACTGATTCCTGTGGGCTTCATGGTGCTCAAAGCTAATGGATAGGGATCTTAATGTAATAATTCAAATAATCAAACTATAGTCAATATCATGCTTACACTGTGGTAATCAACCAAAATGAAATTATTGAAACCATTTCATTCTAGTAAATTTATATTCCTTGACCAAAGATTTTAAAGACTATCATTTACTTAAACTCTATATGAATGATTTTTTAAGCAAAAAAAAAGAGAGAGAGAGAGAGAGAGAGAGAAAGAGAAAATCTAGATATAAGCAAAAGGTAATATCTTCAGGTACATTTGTTTTCTTCTTAGGAAGAATCCTTTCTTTATAATAGGAGTTTCAGCATAACTCTTTTTGGTAGCTAGCTTCCTTTTAGAGGATTTGATTTACCTTAAGCTTTCGAGAAGCCTATTTATTTAAAGTGAGTTTGCCTGGATTTATGTTTCTTTTGGGTAACATACACACATACATACGTGTATGTGAGTGTGTGTGTGGGTGTATACTTACATTCATGCATGTACGATATACATACATACTTATACCTTCTGCATTCCTATGCATGTATGAGAAAGGTAAGACTTTGCAGCTTCACAATCTTTGGGGAATAGAAACCATTGAAAGCAAGGAAATGAAAATCACAACAAAATACTAAGCACCCTAGAAACAAAATTACAATAACAAAAGAARCTTTGTTCTTCCTTTGGAAAGGATGATTTTAAGACTACACCCTGAAGTGGGCAACCTATTGTGACAGAGCTGACAACAGCAGGATCTGATTGTTCAAGTGAATACTCTCCATGTGCCTTTGGACTGCAACATAAAAACAGTGAATATTTTGGTTTTCTTGTAGTGTGACAGTGTTACATGGCAGAGGACTGCTGTGAAGCTGAGGCTT